AAAAAAAAAAGACAAAAAATTTCACTGCAGGCGTTACCATTAATAAAGCTTGCAAGTAAAAACAATATTTCACTTGTTTGTGTAAAGAACTCTTCAGACTATCTAAATGGTAGAAATCTTTATAGAGGATCGTGAGATAATAATAGAACAAAAAATCTTGTTCTGGGACATGAGCAGATCTCTAGAAAGCCGATTTTTAGTAGACAATTTCTTGGAGTTCAATTTTGCTGAAAATTTTCACCTTAGATATAGTTCGTAGTGTAGAGTCTATTCTTAAAATTCTTGGACTTGTCGGTCATGAAGTTAGAGAATGATTTATTAATTAATTTATTATTGTATATCTCAAGAAAAAACACTCATAAGGAAACTACTCTAACTGACACCTACCGTTTGAACTCATATTGGATCTGGAAGACAATCTCGGTAAGATTAGCAAAAGCATAAAAGAGTTCGTTCCTCACCGGCTTTTGACCACAAGTTATGACCAGTTTATTAGATTTTCACTGCATTTTTAGGTACTCTCCGGAAGACCGAATAACGAAGTTTTGATCTAGAATTTTACCTATAGATAAGTCTAATGACGCTTAGAATATCTTGTAAAAGTTTCAATAGAAAAGAATGTTTGTTCGTCAAAATATTAAATTTTCAAAAAAAAGATCTTTATCACAAAAATTGAGTTCACTTGAAAATTTAATAACTTGATGAAGAAGCATTCTTTTTGACTGAAAATCTCAGATCTATCTATACGCAAAATTTAAGATCAAAACTCTATTATTCGATCTTCTGTGAAGTTCCTAAAAATGAATCAAAAATCGAGTAAACCTGTGATAACTCAACGCTAAAGGCTCATGAAAACGAACTCTTCTAGTCTTATGTTAGGCTCATCGAGGTTTCCTTTTAGGTTGAGTATGAGTTCAAACAGTGGGTGTTACTTGGAATAGTTTTCTTGTCTGAAATCGAATGTCTTTAGTAAATTTTGCGAAAATTATTATTTTCTCAAGCAAATCTTATACGATTTTTTCGGTCGAAAAAAGTATACAGTAGATTCTAAATCTACAATGAATCATTTTCTATTCCAGTTGATTTCGATTATTTTATATTAAATCTTTTCTTTTAACAAAAACAAAATATAATTAAATAAAAGATGTTAGAGTAATATGGCACCAGATGTACATGAGACATTAGAAAATTTTGTTTTTTTTTTGGTCGACTCTCCTAAAAGTCATAATTTAAATGCAAGTATTCTATTATCATACATAGATATATTTCGGATTGTGTACATAGTTCTTGTATTTTTTCACTTCTTTCATATTAGTCACACATTGTTGTCAATATGTGTTTGAACTCTCAGCAAACAATTTCATACTTTTACATGAAAGTATCATTTTTTAGATCAATAGAAAAATGTCAATCCAGAATATAACAAGTTTGTCTCAACAGAGGTTTAATCCAGCTGACGTTCTATATTAGTGGATGAACAATCTAACACTTTGTCGGCTCTGCTTCTTCTCAAAGAGAGTTTGAATTCATAAGACCTAAAAGATTGAAATTTTGCTCATAAACTTAGATCGATCCATGCGTGATAATAAAATATTTGTACTTAAAGTATGAATTTTTTTAGGAGAGCAGAATGAAAAAACTTTTGCTACCTATGATGCACAAGTAATATATCGAAATGTCTAAGCACAGTTCTCCACATGGAAATATTATGGAGAGTCAATTTTTTATTTTCATTTAAAAGAGCATGTTCTAAACTTTCAAATGGTATGTTATTTGTAGATATATTACTTTTGTTTTTTAATTCAATGATACGTAAAGAAAGAAAAGACCTTGCAAAATGTGTTTTGCAATTTTCATGACCATAGAGCAAATAAAAGTTTCGATTTCAATGAAAAATTGACAACGTGGTATATGTCAATAATAGGTTGTTACCATTAATTGAAAAACATCATAAAAAGATAGTTATGTGTTTTAGTCGGATAAAGCCAGCGGATATTATCCTGATATTATCCTTAACAGATTAAACGAAAAAAAAAACAATTGTGTCCCAGGCACGTTTTATTAACACTTCAGAGTTTGTTAAAGGATAAAAAGTGTATGCACACAAAATTGAAAAGCAAAAAATTTAGGTTTCATTAGCTTGTTGAATAAAAATGAAGGCCAAAAAACTTGAACAAAATAAATTGCAAGCTATGATAACGGACGTTCGAAAGCAATTAGGCTCTATGTACCGTAATGGCTTAAATTCTATTTGTTGATTTTGTTCTTTTTTTTTTTGTACTTTGAAACATGCTCTTTTAACTAAAAACAAATTGGTTCTTCATGATGTTTCTGAGCGGAGAAGTCTTCTATTATTTGGAATGGTTCTAGTAATTCTATACTTACTCTTTTGATTAGGATTCATGAATGTATCATTTCCAAACATACATAAATGTTGATTTGTATGATGTTCCGTATGTAAATCACATGGAGAAGAAAAATGATTAGTTAGATTTTGTTCATATTCATGATTTGATGTTGTATTTAATTGATGATAGTTTGATAATGATGGTAATAATGGATTAAATGATGATGTAATTTCATTTTGTATTTGTAAATTATTCCAATTTTGTCTTGGATGATATAAAAATAAAGATCGATGTTGTATTGTTGTGCGTGGTGGTTGATTTTCTAATTCAATACTATTCGTAGGTTCACGTCGAGTTCGTTTATTAGTCTTAATTGAAAATAAAAGAAAAAAAAGAATTAACAAATTTTTTATCGAAACAAAAAGAAATTTTCTTACATGTTGATCATGTTCTGGAATAAAATAATCAACTTCTCCTCTAGGTCGTTTTCGACTTATTGGTGTTATTGGAAGAATATTTTGATTATATATTAATTGTTGATTATTGGAAAATAATTCTGTTTGTTGATTTATTGTTGAAGATCGATGTTGTTTAGGTGAAATAATTGTTGATGATGGTAAATAATCAATTGAAATTGGAGTTAATTGTTGACAATCTAAATTAATATTTTCACCATGTTCGTCAACACATTGTCTTAATGATGAACGATTCATAATACGTTTCTTTTTTTCATCCATTATGAAACATAAATCCTTCTACAAAAAACAAAAACAGAAAAAAATATTGTAATTTAAAGTTATACTTTTGAACTATAATTTCAAAAGAAATTATTATACGTAAAAATTATTGTTCTCTATATGAAAAATTTTTATCATTTATACGATTGAAAAAAACATGAGTAAAAATTTGAAGTCAGTTGCATGAATATTATTTATTTAAATGAATTGAATTATATTCACAGAAGAGCAATCATAGTTAATACAAGCGGAAACTATTGAACTCATTTCTATTTTTAGCGCTTCAGGACTGACGAACATCAATGTCACACATTACTATTCATAGGTCTAATATTTCCTGTGTTTTCATCGATGAATAGATGTTTTGTTTATACTCATAAATCAGTCTAGAGAATATAAAGTAATCGATAAACTTCAAAAGAAAAAAACATTTTTACATACCTATATTATCATTGGACCAAACTTAAAATTAACTACAAAAATAAATCTAGAATACAAATAAATAATTATTATTAATGAAAAAAAGAAACAGAAGAAAAAAATTTTTTTTTTTCGTTTCTCTAAAATTATACAGTGCTAAAAACGTTAAGTATATGTTACAACTAAAACAGAGCCGAAATAATAATAATATAATAAACAACAACAACAACAAAAGAAAAAAAACCAGCTCTATACGCACACACACACGCAAGACAAAATCTGACACAACATTCAAAAAGAAACTGAGATTCAATTCGAATTTATTTCTTTTTGCTATTTTAAGTATAATGGCTTTCTTTTTCCCTTGAGTGTTTCATTAAAAATTACTGCAAATAATAATAATTTCTTTGGTTTGAGCACCATTCTTTGATTTGGAATAAAAAGGAAAAACAAAAAATCTGATCATAGATATTATAATTCGATAGGTAGATTTATATCTATAAGTTGTTTTTCAATATTAATTCGTTCATCAACTAATCGTGCTAATTCATCATAGACACGTAATGTTGATTGTCGACGTCCTTTACGCCATGCATCAGTATCATTATTTCCATTTTGTTGATGATTATGATTATTATTTATTGGTTGTGTTAATTTACATAATGAAATAGCATTTTCACTTGGTCGTTTACGTTGACGTATTGAATTTGTTATATCAAGAATTTTATCATCTAATTCATTTAATTCAATTAAAATACTATCAAGTTTATATTGTTTTTCAGCACGATCAAGAGCTAAACGTTCTAAACTAATAGATTCAGCAAGTCGATGTTGAAGTTCAGCATATTTTGATGGAAAAGTACTGAAAAAAAACAATAATGTTGAATTTGTATTAGTATTTATTTGAAAATCTAATTAAGTTTTTTTTTTTCTTCTATGCTCGAATACAAATATAGATCATTGTAGAATTTTTCAAATATGCATGATTTCACTTTTAACAAATAAGTAATGACTATTGTTTAATGAGACATAACTACTATAGATTAAAATCATGTTCAGATTATGTATATAGCAACTCGTTTCAAAAATTTATGTTTTTAATGAATTTAAGGGTGAATGAGATAAATATGCGGAAAAATTTAATTCATGAAGAAAATTTCCTAACTGTTCAACTGCTTTTGAGTCAGGACTGTATGCATCATGTAGGCCGTAATGAGATATGATTACTGAGAAAAGGATTCAGGCTGTAAGCTTATTATTGTTAAGATTTTGTATTTATAAATATAATGCAGTAATCCTTATCAGGATCATCAAGAAAATTGAATTTTGAATTTTGACTTGAACTTTTGGCTGTTCTTATGCTAAGATACGCCTACGATATCCTAATTTTCTTAAAGGGGAATTGCTACATTATACTTAAAAATACAGTATCTCAACAACAATAAGATAATAGTTCAAATCTTTTTCAGGATACTCTTAACTCAGTATACGCTGATATGTTCATTATATATAATTGTCTATAGATACGATGAGGAGAAAGAAATTCTTCTCTTTCCATGGTTTAAAACTGTAATTTCTGTCACAATGATGGACTTATTCTTATTTGACTTTCTTTAGTAAAGGCATAGTCTTTTTTTCTACATGTCTGACAAGTTATCATTTATTAGTTTCTCTTATATTTTTACATATACTTTAACAAATTCACACGATTTGAACGAACCGACAAAAACAGTATAATGTAGTTTTGATCAAAAAAAGCAATCACAAATTTCACACTCTATAAAGAAAATATGAATCATTACTATTAATAAAGAACATAAAAACGCATCAATTCCGAGACAACAAATGACAACTTTAGCAAAACAAAAAATTATGCCTATAACATCATTGGTGTTCTAAGATTCATATCGACAAGAATCCATCAGATCTAAGCTGATGAGTTTACAACTATATTTTTCCCTCTTAGATCTGTTCATGATCATCTCTGGCAATGATATTGTGCATCAACTAAAGGCTAGAGATTCTACAAGAGAAAAAATGCTAATGTACTAATAGACAAAAAACTATACAGTGGATCCACTTGGATCCTATCATAGTGACGAACGGTTATTTCAAATTGCAAACGAATTATAATATTTTGAAATTTTTTTTCTATGATCGAAATTATTATAAAATATCTTACGTATTATCACGTCGAAGAAAATTTAATATTGAATCATCAATATCAATTGAATTATGATTATTTGATATTGAAGAATATTTTCGTTTTAATCGATGATTATTTAATGTTGAATTATTTTTATGTTGATTATTATTTAATATATTTTCAACTAAATTATATAAATGTAAATTTTGTTTTAATACAATTGAATATTCTAATTCTGGATGTAAATATTTATTTTTTGTTAAAAGATATTCATTTGAATTAATTATTTGTTTATATTGATTATAAATTTTTTCATCATTAATATTATTAATTAATGATTGATCAATATTAATTAATGTTTCAATATAATTCCAATCATCTTTTTTTATAAATTCATGTTGTTGTGTTATAATTTTAATCCAAAATTGATCAGGATATAACATATGATTTAATTGTAATTTATTTGTTGATAAATTATGATTACTATTACGAGAATTTGTTTCATAATAAAATGGATATGTAAAATTTATTGGACGATATGATCGTATTGGACGTGTTGAATTTTCATTTGATTTTCTATGTAAAAAATTTTGTTTTATTGTTATCAAATTATTTTGATTATTACGTTCACGTTTAATTGGTTTTAATAAATGTATATTTGAAATTTTTTTTCTTCGACGTCTTTTTCGTGTTATTTGTCCACTAAATGCTTTACGTTTACGTTCACGTTCAGCTTTAAAATCACGTGGTTTTTTACCATTTGTTGATTGTATCATTGATGATAATGGTAATGTTAAATTTTCACCATCAGATTGTAAAAGTTGTTGTTGACGTTGTAAAGCAGCAACAAGAACAGATTCAAGTTCTTGTTGAATAAATGTTAGATCATAAATAAATATACCTTGTTGAAATGTAATATCAATTGTATTTATTATTTGTTGACAACGTGGACATGCCGAACTATAATCCGCATAACGAGAAGCAGTAGTTGACATACTGCTTCTCGATTATGAACGGAATTCAAATGAATGATATAGAATCTTAAACAAAAAAAAAGAAAAATGACATCGATTTGTTTTTTTTTTTATATGACAGATCTTTGACAAAGGATAGACTTTGTTTTGTTGTGTTGTGTTTTCTTTTTTTCTTTGGTAATCAATTAAAGGATTATTGATAAGAAAAAGAAACAAAAAACTTTAGAAGAGAATGAACGCTTTTTTTTTTTAATATTATTTTGTTTTTATAAACCTTTCAATGCGATACAACTATCCAAGCCGCAAGCAATGAAAAAATCGACATTTCAATGTATTAGAAAAAAACATTTTTTTTCTTGTCAAGGAGATCTAAATTTGTAAATATTAATCATCATCAACTCATTTATTTTTCTCAGAAAAAAAGAACTAATTTTTCTCCTTCTAATACTTCAAAAATCTACTTCCTTTTACGTATGATAAAAATGTCGAAATTTTCATTACTGAAATACCTGGCGAAATGAAATAGGTGTACAGGAAAAAAAAACACATAAAGTATAAGGATTTCTTTTTTTTTTCTCTCATTGTTGGCTATACATATCTGAGTCAAGACAAAAAAAAGACCGAACGAATACAAACAAATAAACAGACAAAGAAAGAAGAAGAATACAAAAAACAAAAAAAAGAAAAGAAAACCGGGCTTATCCTATTGATCGATAATAAATAATTCTTCTAATTGTTGATCAAATTCTTCTTCATATTTATTCCAATCTGTTAATAATTGAGCAAGATTTTCAAATGCTTTTTCTATATTTGAATTATTATTATTATTATTACCACTCATTGTATCAATTTTTTCGATTAAAGTTTCAAGATCACGTTCAATAGTATTTAATTTTTGCCATGTTTGTTCATTATCTGATTGTAAATTTGCACGTTTTAATGCTGATGAACTTAATAATGAACATTCATGTAATAAAGATAATAATGTTGATAATTTTGTTTGAAATATGTCTGTACAATGTTCATTATTTGTTATTGTAGTTGGTATAGAAATTGATGTCGAAGTTTTTCTTTTTTTTGTTGATTTTATTTCATTAAATAATTGTCTTTTAACTGTATCATTTGTTGATGGATGTTGATCGATTAAATAATTTTGTACTAATTGTAAACGTTGTTGAAATTTAATTGTTGATGATGGACTAGATATAAGTTTAGTTTTCTTTTTAGATTTTATTAATGATGATAATGATGATGTTGATGGTGAAACATGTTCAGAATCATCTTCAATTTTGAGCTAAAACATAAAAGATGTATTTCTTTTTTTCTATTTTGTATAAAACAAAGAATATGAATAATTAATTTATACAATGTTAAATATTTGTTTATGATAAATAGTATTTAACATGATATTTCATATGAGATTAACTAGTCATCGAAAAATAAAAGAATAAATTAGTGATTTGATAATGAAAGAGTACCAAGGAAATTAAGGTTGGATGAAATATTGCTTCTAAGAATTAGGGAATCAAAATTTTGTATAGAAAACATTATATCTACAAATAAAATACTAATCTAACGAGAGAAATTCCTCAAACTGACTAATCGCTTTTGAGTTGAAACTATGAACATTAGAGCCGTATTCTTCATATGTTAAGTAATGAATCAAAATACGTTACTCCATAGATTTATAAGCTCAAGGAAAAAAACATCAGAGATATTCTTATCAACAAGTAGCACAACAAGAAATATGAAATTTTCGGAGTCGAAAAGTTTGACTTCATAGGAATTTGATGAACATCTTATAGGTCCTAATGTACTATGAATATTCTGAAACGATCTCGGATCTTTAGTTTATCATTATGAGTAGGAAAGTTCAATCTTAGCTGTCCGAAACTTTTTAGTTCTATTTTTGAGCATCATACTTCCAAATTGAAAACAATTTTGTTTTGTTACTGAGATACTTTTCGAAAAATACAATTGTTCGGATAGCTCAATTTCTGGCACGAAATTTTTGAAATAGCTCTTTAATCTGAGTTGGTGCTATCCTACACACTAAAAAATCCTATAGATCTCAAAAAAGATTTCGTAGCCCCTGCCGAACTTAAACAGGTTCGATATTAAAATGATTCTTTTTAGAGAGTAGATCTACTTATGACTATCGAGATATTTCAGATTTACGATATTGTTTAATTTAATGCTGTGGTGTCCTCTTAGGAATACCAGAAAAACTGATTTGTGAATTTCGTTTTGAAACTTTCGCATAGAGATAGAACTCAGCGTGAATAGTTTATTCGATTTGAAACTATTCTCATTAAGGTCTGCTCTCTATGCAAAGCTTCAAGTCGAAATTCAAAACTCATTATTCTTAAAGGAATCACAAGCACTAGATATTAAAAAATCTGGTATTTCAGTAACAATAAGCTAAGGATACAAACTCTTTCCAAGATATTCATAGCTCATTAGAACCTACATGATACACATATTTTCGATTCAAAAGCAGTTAATCAATTCGGATAGTTCACTCTCATACATCAATATTAATGAAAACTTGTTCTAAATTAAGATTTCATTCTCTAGTCTATAAATGAATCACTGAGATTTTTCTCTTCTTACAAAACGATATCATCTATTTATAATAGACTTACATTAGGTAAAGAAAATAATCCAGTTCTATTATTTGAATATTCATTTGGATGTAAACGTGGTGAAATACGTAATGCTGCTGAATTATCTTTTACATCACAATTATTATTGCCTAATATTCTTCCATGCATTGGACTTGATATAGGTGTTTTATAAACAGGTGATGTTTGTCCCATATGTTCATATAATTTTGATTGAAATGTTCCTAATGTTGTTCGATCAACATAATGTGTAATTAATGGATTTAATTGTGATATCTGTAATAATTGTTCATAATTTTCTTCATTTAATTGTTCAATTGTATTTGTTTGATCAATTAATTGATTATTATAATCAGATTTTAATTGTTCTAATTTATTTTCTAAATGACAATTAAATTCGACTAGATTTTCAATCGTTAAAATATCATTTGATGATATTTTACGAAAATATGTATTTATATCCGACCATATACGATCGATACGTGCACCAATAATTGGTGCCATAGAAACTTGTCTATCAAGTAATAAATGTGGACCATTTTGTCGTTGATGATGATGATGATGATGATGATGATGCTTAGTTAATGGTGGTAATACTTTTTTTGGCGGTTTTTTTGATGTATATATATGTTCAGCTTCTTGATGTTGACGAATTTGTGAACGTAATATATCCGAATTATTTAATGATGGATTCAAAAGATTTGTAAAAATATTTTCACGTACTAATGACATAGATAAAAGTGCATCAAGTTCTTGTTGAACTAATTGTACTTCATGAGCAAATACACCTGCTTGTGTATGTTTACTTGATAATATTTGATCTATATTTGGACATATACGTTCCCAATTAGGTAAATTTATTTCATTCATTTGTTGAGATATTAATGAAGATGTATGACGAGATGAAGATTTCTGAATAGATGAAATAAAAAAAAAACAAGTTCAATAACATTGTTAACATCGATATATTTATTTACAATTTTTACAGTGGTGTTCAAATTTGATCGTAAATCTAGTCGATCACCTTGTTTTTCGAATATCTCGAGACGATTTCTACCGATTGAATTACGGCTTTCGTCAAAGTATAATTCTGTTTTCATAGTTTATCAACTCTATCAGATCAGGGTTTCCGATTAGTGGGGAGGAGGCTTCTCCTTGCCCTAAAATATCCAACTTTTTACAGGTTCATGGTAACTTTGAACAGCAACTGGATTTGGAAGCATCATTTACTGTTCTCTGAGAGAAAGTAAAATAAAAATAAGCAGAGAATCTCGTTGCGAGATGAATAGGATTGCGGAGATACGGTATAGTAGCAGATCATCTGTTATGAGAAGGATCAGGTCACGATGAGCTTCAATTCCTCCCTCCGGTCATCACTTCTAGCACTTCGAGAATGAAAGCACGTTCAGCTTCTTCTCATCTCTCAAAAACATTGATAACCCTATAGAAGACTAGGAATATTAAATAATGATGTATTTGAATTTCACTCAAAGTTGATCATAAACCGCACCAAAAACATATACGGACATATTATGATGAAAAAATCTTGTATCTTATCTTTTCTCATCGAGAAATTACATTTTTACAATGTTTTGACTAATAAAGCAAATGAAAATTCGTTAAAACTATTTCTTCCCATTGAAAAGGATGAAATGCAAAGCACAATATTGCGCTATATTTGCGTGTATGATATGATCAATTTTAAGCGTCTATTATATATAGTGTTGAGAATATCATAGGTTTTCTATGACTAATATATGAAGATTGAAAGAAAATTTTGATTTACATGTATACAAGGCTACGAGCGAAATAGCCGATTCTAATACATTCTAGAAATCGTTAGAAACTACATAAAAGTAAACAGTCTTATGAGTTAAGAAATATGCTACAAATAAACACCAATGATTATTACATTTTATGACTGTGTTTCTGTTCTATTGTATGTTATCAACATATTTTACTAAGTATATATAAAGAATAGCTACGAAGAGTAGATTTAGTTTAATAATATGAATGCATAACATAAAAACAGGTCTTTCTAAATTCTAGATGATATCGAAATTTATATATGTATTCTGAATCATTTAGTCTTGTCTTTAACAATCGGATGTTCTTTCATGAAATGAAATCAATTTTAATTTTTACAGGATAAACAACTTTTTAACCAGAGAATTTCTCCTAGATAATTTAGATTTTATCTAAAGATCAAACTAACCTTCAGAGATCAACTATTAATTTAAAGATGACATTCTCTATTTCAAGATAGGTTTTTCTTTTATATGAAGTACATTTTTATTTAAAGCCAATAGTTCTTTAGTTTCAAAATTCAGGTTAAGGAATGATTTCTTCTGAAACGAATTTACCATCATATTTGAATGTTTGCTAGATGACACTATAAACTATATAATGGCATCATGAAACTGAATTTATGAAAAGGTTGACAGAAAAAATATATGTAAAAAATTGTTTTTAAATTTATATATTGTACATAGATGACAACGGATTTATACAGAAAAGTAACATTTTGAACATCTATCAAACACTCAAATTACCAAGTTCACAAGTGTTATTCCCCGATATTTGTATTTAATGAAAGTTCTTCAATGTTATCATCTTCTATATTAATATCAACATCTTATTTTTTGTCAATTTCCTCGTAATTCATTACATTCTTAATAGAATGTATAGATTTCTTTGACAAAGGATGATTATTAATAAGCTGTCGCAATATCTGAATAAGTATACTTCTTTTACTGACTCATCCTCGACACCTTCGCTAGTGAATATTTATTTTGTAAATCAATCTTCATTTCGATTACAACTATGTGAATAAGAACAATGAATAAAATCGCTATTAGGAAACAATAGTAACTACGTATACATAAATATTCAAACAAGAAAAATATAAGAAATACGTCAAAGTAATATAAAAAAAGAAACCCAAGATAAGACAAGTGTCACGTATGCATAAAATGAATCATCACTACTATTTGTTAATAACGGTCGTCTTTTAAAATACGGTTAATTGTAGTGGGTCGTATCTTCTATATGAACATAGTCTTAATACATAATAAATATCTTTTATTGCATACAAAAAAAATAGAACAGAGCAAAAAAACATCAAAACTGAAAATGAAATCAAAATTTCCACCTGCATTTGACACCAAAGGACTATACTTTTTCAATAGAAAAAGAAAAGCTATTTAGAGGGTACTCGTTTAGCAGATGTTTCACTTTCTAATTTTTTTGCTAATGTCAGAAGATGGAAAATCCACTTTAAAGTTCTATTGTGGAACATCTGCTAAACAAATACAAGTATTTTCTATGACAGATAGAATCATACACATTTATTTATTGCTTAATAACATATGAAAATATTAATTTGTATCGATGAAAATACCAACTAAAATAACTTACACGAGGTGATTGATTATCATTCATGGAATTATGTTCATTATGTGTATCAATTGATGAATTTAAAATAGATTGATTTTTAGATTTTGTTCTTGTTTTCTTTCTAACAGTTGGTGATGAGATTGTTTCATTATCATTATTCATATCTATATTAGCATTTTGTGGTGAAAGATGACGACGTCGTTTTAAATTTGTTAAAAAACCATAATCTTCTAATGAACGCTTTTGTTGTTGATGATTCATTTCATTTGTTGTTGTTGACGATTGATTATTATTATCATTATCATTATTTGTTATTGCTGAACGTCTCATTATTGGCTAAATCGATTAATTTCCAATAAATATATTAAATAATAACATCTGAATAATATCGAAAAAACAATGTTATTTCATTGATTAAATAAAATAAGAAGGTCATAAGACGACAAGATGGAAACCTATTTAGTTGTATCTTGATTGCTTTCTTTTCTTCTTTTTTTCTCTTCTTAGTTGTCTATTGGTTTTATTAAGAAAGTTTATTAACCAATAGAAAAAATAAATAATAATAGATGACGTTAGATATTGATTTAAATTTATGAATATATTTTCTAATTATTAGAAAGACAATAGAATCACAAAAATGAATATCAAAATTCCATTTTTCAGAAAGTTTGATATTTTTATATTTATCGGGTTGTATGATTTACCCATGCATTACAATTGTTCTGATTAGTATCCTACACCTGCCGATTCTCCAGAACGAGCCTATGTCGATTGATACGCCTACCTGTTTTTTTCATCGTAACTTTGATGCATACTGCCGTTTATAGCCGAAGAAGACATGCAAGCGTACTATATTTTCTCGTAATTCTGCGGACAGTCATACGACACTGTATACGAATCGTATCGTCCAATCTGGAAAGTATACAAAATCCATATAGACTCTGTATTTTACCATATTTGCCAAAATACAACGATTTACGGTCGTTTACGAGTATGCTTGTTCGACTTGGACTGGCAATTAATGGGATTTCAGCTTTTCAAAATATTTTTGCTTTTTCAATTCTAAACAAATTATGCGTTTATGTGAAATATTTTGATAATTGTCTTGCTTTACTTGATGGTTGTCTCAAACAATTAAACACTTTGATTGTTGATATTTATGATATGAAATATCGTTCATCAAGTATTTACAATATGGTAATGTTTAGATTTTATTAGTTTATAATCTTTTCAACTTAGAAAAAATTCTATTGATCAGAGCGATGACTGTTTTCATATAATTATAGATAAATTCATTATTGATAGTGAATTACTATTTAAATGAACTATAATTAGATAGTTGTAAAATGAATACTCGTTTTTTTCGATAGGTAAATAAAGTTAATTTTCTATATTATATTTAATTCTAAACTATATCATGCTTATGAGTTGATTTGAAGAAATAAATCAAATGATTGGATTTTATTTTAACAAACAAACTGTTTAGTTTAAATGAATGTTTAGATCTATATTAATCATGTATGAATTAGTTTTAAAAATAGGAATGAACATATTCATCTTGAGATATTCTAAAAATATATTTAGTTCTACGAGAAGTCAGAAAAAGATCAAACTTATCTTAGTCTAACATTATTCCTTCAGAATAGCAATCGATCTTTGATTTTTTCCTCTTTAGTCATTTCAATCATTTTCATTGTTTTATAACACATAGGTAAACTAAAAAAATCATAAACATTAAAGAGTATAAATGGTGAGAATAGATAAAAAATATGAAATATAGAAAAGTAACATCGATGTTACTTTTATTTGTTTTGGACGGATGAGTTTTTGGTAAAGATTTTAGTATAAACAAGATTTGTTCGATTGAATTCTGATGATTTGACATAATGGAAACAGTCTTGTTTATCTAATCATATGAATTTGTTCTTTGTACAAATAATATTGTTTTAGTATAGGTATAATAACAAACTTGACTGAAACGTTTTCGAGTAAGGGTGGGGTGTGGGTGTGGGTTTTACAGCTACACATCCACATCCTAGTACTTTAATAACTTGTTTTGAATGAAGTGTATCATGTGACAACATAACAAGAAATTCAGCGATACAATAAATAAAATGTGATAATACATCATAACCTGCTGTAATTTCTTCAATCATTTGAAATTGATTGATTATATGAGTAAGAAAATGCTATTTAAAAATAAACGAAACGATTAGAAATACAACGAACTTCATTAGTATCTAATCAACTATAATTAACACGAATTAAAAATAATTGAACAAGTAAATCGAGTACAGCATTGTGACGAAACATTTGAAGATTTTCTTCTAGCAGACGATAATGAAACGATGGCGAGTTCATGAAGATTTAATAAAAACTAAATTAACAGAATATTTTTAAATGAACGTTGTGGTAACAGAAAAATTGGTTTTCAAACTTTTTTGCTGTTCCTATCCTAAGATACAATTTTGGTAATAGTGTGTCTTACAGATCACTCATATCAATCAGCTGGTTTAATATTCGAATTTCAAGATAGAGCCAAATGAAAAGATCAGACACTTTCTTCACAATAAACTACTATAGTTAAGACTATCGATATTCGCAAAATCAGTTTTTCTGTTACTATGGCATTCTTACATTGAAATTTTCCTTCTCTAAGAAAGACCCTTCCAGAAACCTTAACTATAAGATTTCCATCTAAGATTTTATCCGTAGGCAAGTTTTAAACCCAACACAACATCCTAAAATGTTTTAGCTTAACCAATAAATAAAAAAGATTAATCATTGAAATTTTCTTTACAATAAATATTTACTATTTAAAAGAAGTCACCTCTTGTGTAGAAATAAGACTTAAAACTGATTTCATAGACACTAATATTGTTGAAAATAATTGTTGAAAATAATCAGTTTTCAGATGAATTTAAAAAAACTTTTATGTATTTGATATGATGAACGTATTAACTCGAATAATTTCATCATTGATGGATTATTTCCAAAAGCACCGAATTATGTATGATTAACTTTTTTTTATCTTTGTCTGTATTTGATGTTGTTGATGAATCTTTATCATTCTCTTAAAAAAAGAAAAAACAAATGAATTCATTCAGACAAAATATAATCATATATATTATTCAAATCTAACGCTTTGGAATTTCTTCCCTCTGTGAAAATTGAAATATCAACTATAGGAAATTATCTTCTGTCCAAAAAATATGATGATTGTAAACATTTTTGCAAGAATTCGAGAACGGTAATAAAAAAAGTTCACTTTTCAAATTACTTGAATGATTTGTGCTAGTTTCAAAACATTTTTTCATTTGTTGAGATTTGATAAATCTTCAAATAAAAAGCAAGAATTCAAAAAGAAAACATAATAAATATCGTTTCGTTTATTCTCTTTACTTGAAAAGATTAAATTATTAAGATCATGTAATATGAATGGATGTTTAAAAAATGCATAAGTAGACGCAGTTCATTATCTTGATTATGAACAAAATTGACGAATTGTTGTTGGTCTTAAAACATTTGAAAGAGTATAAATACTTTCTAAACATCCAATCTATATAAAAGACAAAAATAACAAATTATTTGTATTCGAATTAATGCTTGAACCAAACGATCAAATATTAATGTTGATAAACATGATATTGTTTCATGTTGTACTTGATCATTTGATATTATTACAGAAGTATTTAATTGTTGTAATGAATTTTATATATTCATTAACAAGAACAATTAATTCATTTAAGTAAATAATGTTTTGATTATTGATATCATAAAAATGAATTGTGATCAATAAACCTTAAAATCAAAAAGTAGATAATAACTAACTTAATGCAATAAAATCGATTTATGTTTTCGAATTTGAAAAACAACCATCTAGTTAATATCTCTACAAAATACATACTTAGCAAAAGTTGAAGCAGTTGCTTGACGAACACCTATATCAGGATACTGTTGTTTTAATTGTTGTTGTTGTTCAAGATAAGTTAATTTTCGAAAATCAATATCATCTATAAGTTGTGCTAGAGCAATCTATTTTATATACACACACAAGCAAAAAATTATTATGATCATAAATTTCTTTTATCTACTTTAGCAAGAATATAAGAACTTATACTATGTTGAATAGAATATTCTAATAATTTAATGCCTATGATTGTAAATGCATAACTATTAATTAATAAAAAAGGTTATAATATTCGTAAAGCATTTAATGAAGCATGTATAACATGTGCATTGTTATCATTAAGACATAATCGAAATGTAGAAAGTAATTCCGCTAATATACATAATTGAATATTTGTATCAAAAACAAGAGACGATTAATATTCTAGTTTAACCTTGAACTGTCTTGTGAAACAGTTGATACAAGTGAACATTGATCAATAGAAGAATTATTAAATGAATTTGATAGTGATGATAGTGTTAAACGATGAATTGTTGTTTGAATTAATGTAGCAAGTATGTTTGCATATGCACCACGTAAATGTAAATCACCATGTTCATATAAAGATAAAAGATATGTGAATATCTTAAAGAAAAGAAAAAAAAGATACCTCGATGTTCGATAGATTGTAACGTATTACAAGTCATATAGAGATGAGAATTTCATTTTTCTGATTAGAGAATTCTATTTCAATTACAAAATTGTATCTAATCAGAAATCTTCAAAGACTAATGAAAAATTCTTTACAGGATATAATTGATTTCATATCTCGAACTTCGGCTTAGAACTTTTTTGAGTTAATTGTGTAATTCTATAATTTCAATCTCTGATGTATAAATGCAGCCTCTGAGCTCTAAAACTTTTGTACATCCAACCTATTCAATAAAGTGTTCCACTTGACATCTTTTTGAGTCTGATAATATTCTAGTCTTCTGTTGGTTTCAAAAAAATCAAAAGTAGAAATCAAACTAGAATTGCTAAATCAACATCGAGAAATCTTCATTCTTGAATTTTCAAATTCCAATATACATGTGTCATATCGTTTTATTTCAACAATTTAATAGTGAAATCGTCATATATATCAGATAACTTTCACTAAAACTTTGAGAACTTCACCAATTGAAGGGACATCAACTAAACTCTGTCACAAGCTCCTTCACAAGATTGATCCCATTCACCTAAGCCCTCATACTGTTATAACATTAGAAATAATTTTGGATTATAAAATAAATTTATTTTACTGAAGTGAAACTTTACAAAAAAAAGGTCTCAAACAAGCATTAAACATACTTTCAGTAGGATAATCAAATTGTTGATAAATGTGATAGACATGTTGGTATAGCACATTTAGCACTAATACGTGTTTCATCATGACTTTTTATCGTACCATCCATATTGAGTATATATCTAATCGGAAAAAAATATAATTGATTAACAAGTTTAGTAGCTGATGTTCGTTTTTCATTATTAATCATTGATGTTGAATCTAATTTATCATTCATTCTATTTACTAAAATATCTTGTTGTTCATTAATTTCAATAAATGAACGTTGATATACTGAATAAGCTATTGTTTTAGAAAAAAATATAAATAACAAAATTTCTTGTTTTTTTTTCTCAATATTTACCTGTTTGTAATGTTTGACTACCAGAAGTTTTTTCTATGGATCCAATTTGAATTGAAACTATTAATTGATCAAAATGAAATAAATTTGAATAATCAAGTAATTGAATAAGATTTTTATTCAACCAAGATAACAAATTATTAAACGTGTACCAACATTTTAATAATGATGTTCAAATAATTGATCTATTAAAATAAAAGACAATCATAATGAATTGAAATTATTATTTTGAAAGAAAACGTACTAATTGCAAAAGAAAAATTCTTTCTCACTCGACTTCATACTTTAACTATAGCGATAGCCAGTAAACTACAATGACTAAACCATTCTTAAGGTACATGAAATTTCACGCTCGATTACTTTCGAGGGCGGATCGCTTCAAATGATGGACAGTTTCTCAGTCTGTATTTCGTCAAATAGTATCAGACTTCCTATTCTACATTTTCTGAAAAGCATCCTCTCTTGTTAGAAGTTTTAACCGAAATATGGGCTCAGAAGTTGTCAATTAACTAGAGCAATTCTTTTCTATGTTTCTATTCAATCGTATGACATTTTTCTAATTACTTCTTTAAAAAACTTGTCTTAGATGACGAAGATTTTTGTTTGACTTACTTTAATTTCTTTATCATTAATCGATCGACCAAGAACACGAAAAATAAGTACATAATATTCTGATAAAATGGTTGAATCTTTTTTCAGATGTATTACATTTGCTAATTCGGCAAATCACCATAGAACACCTAATCCAAATTAAAAAAAAAACTTTATGATAAATTTAAGTCAAATAATAAAAATAACCTTTTAAAACTTTTGGTTCAACATTAGGATTATGTTTAATAATTCCATGTAATTCAACTTGAATTCTTGTTAAAACTGCTTCTTTTAAATTTTAATTTATAATTCATACAAAATTATACAAGAAAAAGAATTTCTTTTATAATACTTTAACAAATTTATTGAGACTTTCTTCGGTGGTCAATCGTACATTATAATCATTTTCATCACATGTTGTGAATAATGTTTTTACACTAGCTTTAATTAATTTAAATAGTTTTCATTGTTACTTCTAGATAAGAAAAACATTCGACAAGAGATGAAAAAACAGAAAAATCAAATTATTTTGCTTGATTATTAATGTTTCTGATATTGTTGTTGAAAGTAATTTTAAAAATTCAAGTGATTTACTTAGTTTATCCATTTTGTTTAATTTATATTCAATTCATTTATTTTAAAGTCCAATAAATAAATGACTAAGGTTAAACATTATTTGATAATTATAACGAATGAATGAATAGTCGACTGAAAAAGCCTAACATCGATTGAATATTCGTAAACACCATTGACATTTCTCTTTTTTCTATTAGTAGATGATGCTAGATTACATTTTTATAAAATAAGACTGTATAAATTGAAAACCTTATCATTAACTAAAATTCTTATAGCTAAAATATAGTCTTTGCTACATGTTCAATAAGGATATGTTTCGATCTTGTAAATACTAAAAGTAAGTCTAAAGACATTATTTTGCGCTGGAAAGAGGCAAATGGTGTACAGAATAGTTGAGTCTGAGGGAAAAAGAGAACTACACAGATAGTTTCCAAAATCAGGAAGAAAAGTGTTGGCTACGACTCATATGCAGCATGTTTTTCTACCGAAGATTGTTCTATCTTAAAGTTTCAAACGACATTTTCAAAAGAAGGTGCCATTCAATTTTTTATGTTTACACGTTTTTCAAAGCATTAAGAACGATCATCGTCCTTTTAGTGCTTTCAGTCTTGTTTATTCCTTTTAATATATATATATATCTTGCGATGCTCTGAGAATCGATGTGTGCATGCAAATGAAGAGAAGATCTACGATGATCTAAATTTGGGGTGGGTGTGAGTGTGGTTTCAAGTAAAGGTTACTTCTATACACAAACATTCACCCACATCCATACTCACAGCCTATTGGCAACAGTAGAAGCCATCATCGACTAATAAGACAGTGCCATCCATAGCCCTTTCGTATTGAAGTCCAAGGCAACCGAAAGGAACACCAGTAGGAAAGAACAAAAATATGTTTAAATCCTATTTAGAAGTTCTTTTTTTTCTTTTCTATTATTCATGACTATAATGCAATTCTTTTTTGCATGTGTCGTTCTTATTCTTTCTTATCTCATATCTGAAGTATGTACATAGATTTTGCCTATTACATTTAGTCAGCAATACTTTGAAATAAAAGAAAGAATAAACGAGATAAGAAGTCCTTGAAGTTGGTAACAACCAGCCAAACAAAAACGAAAGTGTCAACATAAAAAGGAAGAAAAAACCGAAATATATTTAGAGAGAGACGACATTTTTTTGTTTTTTTTTTAATATTTTACAGTGTCCAACAAATATCCACGTTTCCATTCATTTACATAAACTGAACAAGAAAGCTAAAGGTCATCATCATCATCGTTATTACCAGCGAAATGGACAAGAAAAATTTGAAACCAAATGCTAGTGACTCATCGTCGTTTACCACAAGTAAATCAAATAAGTCATCCTCAGCAGCAGCAGCAGCAATGACAGTCGTAAGTAGAAATGTCACAGAGCCACGCCCGGTTCGTCGGATGCTTCAAAGTTTTCTTTTGGTCTGGCTTGATGCCGATTTCGATGAGTCCAAAGATCATTATAACAAGTCAATACAAGATCTACAACGTATTGTAGCAACAATCACGACATTTACAGATGCTGATCAATGTGTTGATTTTCTCAGTGACATTGAAGATGAAAAAGTATTCATGATTGCGTCTGATGCACTGGGACAACATATCGTACCAGAAATTCAAGCATTGCCACAATTACATTCAATTTATGTTTTTTGTGACAATCAATCGATTCATCAACAATGGGCCAAAACAATACCTAAAGTAAAAGGTGTATACACACAAATTGAACCAATTTGTGAAGCATTACAAATTGACCAAAGAAATTGTGATCAAAATATGATCTCAATCAGTTTTGATCGTATTGATCCGTTATTTATGTATACACAATTGTTAAAAGAAGCACTTTTGGAAATCGAAGATGATGATACAAAATCAATTAAAGAACTCGTTGAGTACTGTCGTCTTCATAGTGATGCTGCCGAAAAAACACTCAAAATGATCGAAAAAGAGTATCGTAATCATACACCCATTTGGTGGTACACGGGTCCATATTTTATCTACTCATTGCTCAATCATGGTCTTCGACAAATGGATGTCGATATTATACTTAAATTGGGCTTTTTTATTCGCCATCTACATCAGCATATTACAGAATTACATCGGGAACAACAAGGCAACATGCCAACAAAATTTCAAGTCTTTCGTGGACAAGGTTTGTCCATTGAAGACTTTGAAAAGATGAAAAAAACCAAAGGAGGACTTATGTCCTTTAATAATTTCCTGTCAACAAGTCGTAACCGCAAAATTTCACTAGAAAGTTTTGCACAACCAGCTACACAGAATCCCAATTCGGTTGGGATTCTCTTCGTTATGAACATTGACACGGCTGTTTGCACAAAATCAGCGACATCATTTGCCGAAGTAAGCCAAGTTGGCTACTATAAAGGTGAAGAGGAAGAAATACTTTTTTCAACCCATACAATTTTTCGTATCGATCGCATTGAACAAATTAAAGATACGAATACTGATCGCTTATGGCAAGTTAATCTCACCATCGTCGGTAATCAAGATGATGACTTTAACAAACTTACTGCACATCTACGTGAAGAGTCCACTTGGGTGACAGGATGGGCTCGATTTGGCCATATACTTATTAAACTTGGCGAACCTGCAAAAGCAGAATATCTCTGTAAGGTACTCCTTGAAAAAGCCACTTCTGATAAACAACGATCAAATTATAATCTTCTGCTTGGCACGGTGTATTATAATATGGGCGAGTACTCGAAAGCACTTTCATCGTACGAACGATCACTTGA